GTGATGAACCAGCTCGTTGGTGGAGGTGGGACCCGGCCCCCTGGAGAGCGGGGTGGCCGTGGGGGTGGCTATCGGGCCGTCTGAGGACCAAGATGGGCCGGTGAGGCCCAGGAGGGGTGGGAAGGCCGGTGGCCGCCGCGGGGAGCTAGGTGGCAGATCTGGGCCTGGGTGGCCTGCCTGAGTCCTGTACCTCCAGTACCAGCTCTTCCGCAACTACTCAGCCTGGCGCGGGGGCGGGGACCCGGGGAGCCCCTTGGTGACTGGGGGGGCAAGCACAGGTGGGCCGTGCAGTCGCCCCTGGTCTCTCATGGCCTCACCCCTGCGAAATGGAATGTGCTCCATGGAAGGCAGGCCGGCGTCCTGGGGAACCATCTGTGCCGCGGCGCCCCCGCTGGCCTGGGGGCTCAGGGCGCTGGCGCTGTGTGGACCACTGAGGTGGTTTCCAGCGGCTTCTGCCCGTTCGTACTCATAGACCGGCTTTCTTGCCAGTACTTGGTGACACTCAACCTCGGTTTTCCTTTTTCTCCATTTGAAGGACAAAAGGTTACCTCACTGAATGTTTTAATTTGCCTTTACTGGTTTGATGAGGCAAAATGCCTTCCCTATGGCTGAACCTTCTCTGCCTCCCCTTCTGAAAATTACGTGGCGTTTTGTTGGGATTTTTAAAATTTTTAATTAATTAACTTATTTCTCAATATTTGTCTTATTTTTCGGGAGAGAGAGCACAAACGGGAGGGGCAGAGAGGAGACATAGAATCTGAAGCAGCTCCAGGCCCTGAGCTGTCAGCACAGAGCCCGATGCAGGGCTCGAACTCACAGACCACGAGATCATGACCTGAGCTGAAGTCAGACGCTTAACCAACTGAGCCACCCAGGCGCCCCTGTTGGGTTTTGGGTTTTTTGTTGTTGTTGTTGTTGTTGTTTTTAGTGTGGGTAGGGACAGATTTTCCTCTGGGTTGGTTTCCTCTCGTGGATTCACAGGAAATTTCTAAAATATAAATATGAACATAAAAATACATAAATATTGGGGCGCCTGGGTGGCTTAGTCGGTTAAGTTTCTGACTTTCGCTTTGGTCATTATCTCTCGGTTCGTGGGTTCGAGCCCCGCGTCGGGCTCTGTGCTGACTGCCAGCTCAGAGCCTGGAGCCTGTTTCAGTCTGTGACTCCCTCTCTCTCTGACCCTCCCCTGCTCACGCTTTCTCTCTCTCCTAGAAATAAATAAAACATTAAAAAAAAAATTTAAAAAAAAACGTAAATATGAAATATGCTGGACATGAATCTTTTGTCAGTCATATAAATGGCAATTCTCTTCTTTGTGACTTATTTTTTTCCTTTTTTGTGGTGTTATTTTGAAAGTTCTTAATTTTAATGGAAATGACTTTATCAGTCTTAAAGGTTTGCGCCTCTGTGTCTGGCAGATCCGTCTCCTTCCCCGAGCCCTGTAGGCCAGCCTTCCACTCGGCCCGGCCCCGCCCCACCATCCGTGTCCCCAGGGGTCTGCAGGCAGCTTCACGAGGCGGGAGCCCATTCCTCGTGTGCCCTTGAGCCGGCTCCTGCTCCGGGATTATTTGAACTTCACGGTATTTCCTGGTCATAGATTCTTTCACCATGTTCTCGACAGCTGTTTTCACTCTTCTTGCCCTTTATCCTTCCAGAAATATATTTTAGATCCAATGTAAGTTTAAAAAAAAAAGAAAGAAAGAAAAGACAGGTTGGAATTTTTATGGCGATTGTCTCAAATCTGTCTCGGTTTGGTGAGAATTGGGCCTCGCCTCTGCCCGTGAGCGAGCCGGGATCTGGCGCTCATACAGGCCGCTCCCGTGACGCCTTTCCTGAGGGTCTTCTGTGTCTTCGTTCCATTTATTCCTCTCACTTTTATTATTTTTGCAAATAACAAATTAAAAGCTTTTATTTTTTGAACATTCATGGGTATATAGACCTGGAATTCTTTATACTGATTTTGTTTCTAAGAACTCTGCTGAACTATGTTAGTAATTGTTATAATTCATCCGTAGATTCTTTTGGGTTTTTCTACAGAAATGTATCTTCTGTGAATAATGGCCATTTCTTCCCTCCTTTGAGTTCAAGTGTGTTTTCTTTCATTTTCTTGCCTCTACTCTGGCTTTGACCTCGGTACAACGTACTAGTGATAGGAGTGGGCTTTCTCCCTTTACCTGTGATGAGTGGTGCTTTCTGGAACATTCTTTCAAGAAACTCTTTATGTTAAGCTAAGGGAGGTCCATTTGATCAATAATCTGTTAAACTTTGAGTTCATGCTGAATTTATTAAACACTTTTTGTAGCCGTTGAGGTGATCGTATCGCACACATTTAATCTGTTAATGTGCGAATTTCTGCTTGTTGATTTTCTAGTGTTAAACTAACCTTGCATCCCTGAGCCACACTAGACTCAGTCCTGGTCTCTTCCTGTCCAGATGCACAGCAGGGCTCCGTTTGTTTCTAATTTGTGTAGGACCTTTGAACCCTCCAGCATGAGTGAACACGGCCTTGGTGTTCGTTTGTGATCTCATCCGGTCAGGGGTCCCGGGCCCGTCACTGGGTTGAGGAGTCCCCTCCTGTCCCTGTTCTGTGGGCCCGTTCCCGCGGGGCTGGGAAATAGACTGAATATTGGTAGAACTTCCAGTAAACCCTGGGCTGGAACTTGCTCTGTTTTTTAACTACTGATTCACGTGCCTTTACGGCTATAGGAGTATTTGTTCACGTTTTATTTTTCTTCTGGACGGTTTTTCTGGAATTTGTCAGTTTCACCTGCGTCTTCAAGTTCATTGGTGTACCGTTTGTTCGTGATGCTCCGTCGTCGTGTTCTGCCCGTCTGCAGGGCCAGCAGCTGCCCCGTCCGTCCGTCCTGGTGTGCTCTGCGTCGGCCCCTCACCTCCCGGCTCGTCTTACCGGACAAATGTATTCACATCTTCAAGGAACCAACTCCTGGCTCTCGGTTTTGGCTGTTCTTTTGTCATTTCTTTTCTTTCTGTTCTTACCTTTTGTTCCTTCCCTCTGCTGGGTTTGGGTTGCTCTGCCCGTCCCCACGCCCCCCTGTGGAGCGGGAGCCTGTCTGCTGACCAAGCCGGCAGGCCCGCCCGTGACTTTGCTCTCAGCGCAGAAGCTACTACCCCCGATGTGCAGCTCAGGACTGGCGCTCAGTACAAACTGTTATCTCATTGCCCTCATTTCTTGTTTGACCCATGGAGTATTTAGTAGCGTCTTTCTTAATTTCCGGGCCTCTGGGGGTTTTCTGGGGCTCCTGCTCGGTTGTTTGACTTTGCTCCTGCATCCGTGGGGACGAAGTCGTCAGGCCTGTGACATTGGAGACTCAGTGTTTGGCCAGTGTGTTTCTGAGTCGATTTCCTTCTGTCGTTTCACTTTCTTGACAGCCTTTGGGTGATTTGATAACATTCTTCACCTTCGACCCTCGCCATGTGCTTGTCCAGGGAGGAGGCCAGTTCAGAGCAGCGCCATCCAGTAGGAAGGTGGCCACACGTGAGCCATAGTGAGGTTCCGAGTTCTCTTGCAGCCACGTTAGAAGACTAAAACCAGAGCAGGTGAAGTGAATTGTAGTTAACCTGGCCTGTCACACCTTTTACCGTGCAGTCGGTGTGGCCTTCCATTCGTCCTTGTCTGCCGAGCCCGCGGCATCACCGCGGCTCGTGGGCGCCACACGGGACAGCGCAGTCCCCGCTGGCCGCCTCCTGACGTGCACCCGGCATCCAGGGGTTGTGGGAGGGCCAGCCGCAGCGGGCCGGCTCTTGTCGGTGCCAGACTCCCTCTGCCCTCCGCCCTCTCTCCCCGGCGGCCCCAGTGCCCTGTGCTCTTCTGCTGTTTGAGCGGAGCCCATGGCAGCAGGGCCCCTGCCTTCCAGGACCCCGTGTCGCTGCTCAGGCCCGGTGCTGAGGGGCTCCGGCGCCACGGGGACGGCATGAGCACGCGTCAGCCTTCTCTCCGGGGCAGGGGCTGGCCGGGACAGGGCACCGTGGGTGCTTGGGGACCTGCTGCCCAGATGCCCTGCCGTGCCAGCGCCCAAGCACGAGTGCGAGGGGCTTCTAGTCCGTTGGTGGCAGCTGGCGGGCAGATGTGGGGCCTGGATGGGGCCAGTGAACTGTGCTCAGAGAACGGGCCTGCGCTACGCAGAGTCCTCACAGGCTCGTTGTCCTGGGGGCTGGGGATGGGCTCCCAGGAGGGGGTTTCGGGGCTGTTGCCACATACTTCTAAGTGGCTCAGCCAGCAACCCCCACCCCTGCATTGGGGTGCTTGAAACCCGGCTCTGGGCCGATTGGCGGGGCCGCTGTGGTGGTTGCTGTCAGGACGGTGTCTCTCCCGCTGGCTGGTCCGACACCAGGGCACTTGCTACACCCCCCCCACCCGCCCCGGACCATGCCCGCTAAGCCAGCTGCAGGGGTGGGTGTAAAGTCGGGCTGTCACCCCTGCAGCTCCCACCCCTGGAGGCAGGCGGGCCCTGGACAGGGGCTCCCCCGCTCCCTGTGGGCCTGGTGGGTGGAGCTGCAGCCACGTGCTGCGCAGAGCACCTGCTGGATGGCGCGTCCCAAGTGGGGTATAATTAGCTGCCGTGACAGGTGCTGTGGATCGGGTGTGCGGCTGCCCTCGGCCGACCTGGGCACCCCTGGGCTTGGAGCCTAAGCCCCATGCAGTGAGGCCCTCCACGCATTGAGCCTCCGCCCACGTCCTTGTCTTCTGCCAGGAGGGTGGGCTGCGGTCTGGAGAGGAGATTCGTGCCAGGCTAGGGGACCCCCGGGCCAGCCTGGTCCCTGCCGTCAGTCCAGGCCCAGCACCCAGCTGGTACCCTGGCCCTTCCAATCACTCAGGGGGCTCGGGTGGGTGGGAGCGCAGGTGGCTGGGGCCTGGGGGTCTCAGCCTTCCAACAGGAAACCTTTGGCCCTCAGTTCCCTGGGGGGCAGAGCAGGCAGGGCCACCCCACATGGGGCAGAGGCCTTGAGCCACCCACCTAGCGGCTCCCTTCCCCCCGCAGTGCAAGAAGAAGCACACGCTGCTGTGTCCTGACTTCTCGCGCAGGGGCGCCTGCCCCCGGGGCGCCCAGTGCCAGCTGCTGCACCGCTGCCGGAAGCGCCTTGGCCGGCGGGCGGCCTCAGCCCCAGCCCCGGAGCCCAGCAGTGTGCCACCCAGGAGCAAGCCCTCCTCCAGCCACGGAGCCAGGTGACGGGGCCAGCGGGCGCTATGCATGTAAGCCCGGGGAGGGGGGGTTCCGGCAGCAGCCCCTCCTGCGTGGGGAGACCACCCTCATAGGTAACCTCTACACCCCTTCCCAGCTCTTAGGGCTTTAGACCCAAAGCCTCAGTTCAAAGTTGAGGATCAGGTGACCTCCAGAGGTGCCCCACCCTACACCCCACACCCCCAGGCTGGGCAGAGCCAAGGACATCCCTCTGTGGGACTGCCCAGGCCCTGCCCGTGGGGGAAGGTAGGGGCTTCTCAGATACCCACTCCCACTCCCTGGGAAAGGGAGGGTTCCGGGTGATGCTCGCAGCTGGGCCCCCACCTTGTGCTCACCTGGCCTGTGGCAAGGGAGGGCAGGGTCAGTGCAGAGCTCACCCCAGCTGCCTCAGGCCAGAGGCCCCATGTCGTCACCAGCCTATCCTCTGAGGCCGAGGGCTAGCCTCGGATCTGGATGGCGATGCCCGGTGGCTGCTGGGACAGGTGCCACACAGCTGGTCGGCTAGCGCCCTCTGGACCCCACCCCGCCGGGAAGCCACCCACCTTCACACTTCTGCTCCCTTTCCTTTCCCGCAGGAAGTCCTCTGCCGCCCAGCGCCCCACCAGACAGACGCCCAGCTCCCCCTCCTCCGTGGCTGCAGGCTCGGCCTCCCCTCCCTCCTCCCCAAGGGTGTTAGCTACAGCCTCAGGCTCTCCCCTATCAGCAAAGCCTCCCTCCCCCTCCTCCCCCTCCTCCCCTCTTTCTTCCTCCTCCCCCCTCTCCCCCACCCCCTTCTCTTCCTCCCCCACCCCTTCCTCCCCCGCCCTGTCCTTGGACCAGGAGGAGCTGTGTGTCCAGGAAGAGGCTGGCTCTGCAGCGACGGGCTCCGGCAGCCTCTCCAAGCTGCCTTCCTTCATCTCCCTGCAGTCCTCGCCGAGCCCAGGAGGCCAGCCCAGGGCCCGGACCCCCAGGAACCCCCCAGCGAAGGACTCAGGTAGGCAGCTGGGCCCCTTAAAGCCCAGCCCAGCACGGCCAGGGGCTCATTTGCAGCGCTCCCCTCAGCCCCGCTGAGACGGGGGCCAGGTGGGGCCCGGATGGTTCGTGAGCGCCTCGCTGGCAGGTGCGCGCCTCGGGCCCTCGGGGACAGAGCTGGCCGAGGTGTGAGTGCAGCAGCGGCCGCCCGCATGGGCCACCCCAGCCGAGGGCTGATTTAATTAGAAAGCACCCATTTCTGTTAATTTGTTCTGGAAGATCACTGCACACTCCTGGAGAGAACAGATGTTCCCTCTCCCCCGATGAACATTTGGGGCTTGGTAAATGGCTCCACTCAGCCTTGTTTAGGAGAGAAAAGAGGATTTTATGGCTGCAAACGACCCTTTCTGTAAACATTTTACAGCTCTCCGCGCGTTTGAGTGACGATAAACCCCACGCAGCTCGGCGGGCTGCAAATTTGCGACCATACGGCTATCATTTTATTGTCATATTTCACGGTCGTAACGTTAATGGAAGATGCTTGCTGCAGCCTTCTCTAACAGCTCCGCTGAGCACGCCCAAACGCCTCCCTCCGAGGGGCCAGGACCGCTGGTGCCTGCTTACAGGCCCCGCTTCAGGGCCGCGGAGCCGTGGCCGGGCTCCACCTGTCCACCGGGGCCCAGGGCAGCAGCTACTCGCCTCGGGGTGGGCCGCCCTGGGCTGGGGACGGAGCACACGGCGGCCCTGAGGCAGCCAAGCCCGGTGCTGGTGGAGGCCAGCAGGGTGCGCAAGGCCCGGGAGAGGCCGCAGAGACCTCCCCTGGCTTCGGAGGCCGCATCAGCCTTCATTTCCTGCTCAAGCCTCCCCAACCCTGGCCGGGGCCGGAGCTGGAGGGGCCGGCGGAGGGCTGGCTGTGGGGCAGGAGGCCGGCTGCACCTACTCAGGCAGTCACCCAGGACGGTGAGGCCTGCGGGCAGGGACCAGTGAGGTGTGCAGTCTGGAGCCCGGAAGTGGGGGGCCCAGGAGGAGAGGTGGGCTCCCAGGGGCACTTAGATGGTGCCATGCCCACGGGCAGCCACATGGAGGCGCCCGTGGGCCACAGGGACGCCAGCCTGAGCCGAGGCCGGAGCACTCCTAGCCGAGGACCGACGCTGACTTCCAGTGAGTGCCAGGCACACGGGGCAGGGACGCCCGTGGACGTGACTTTCTGTCCCCAGGCCCCTGCTGTGCTGGAGGAAGACCTGTCTCCCCACCAGACGGCAGCCTCTCCCTCCCTGGCCCTCCTGTCCCCAGGCCCTGTCACCGCACCCACCGGGACCCAGGTCCCCCCACCCCCACTCAGCCAACTGCTCACACACGTGACTTTTGAGGTTGAAGGCACAGTGCAGCCACCACACATGCATGTGGCAGCCGTGCAGACCGCAGTGGCTCCCGCCTGTGGCCAGGCCTGCATGCTGCTAGGCTGCTGGACCCCAGGGCAGGCACGGGCAGCCTGATCAGAGCCACTTTAACCAAGTTGTTCGCAGCCCCACCCCCACCCTGCAGGCTGGGGGTGGGGCTTGATGGAGTCACCCCCATTTTGACCCAGAAGCTTTGGTGGGAAGGACCTTCCCCCCCCCCCCGCCCCGGCAGGGGGGAGGATGCTCCTGGCACCTGACCTTTGCCCTTCTTGGAACAGGGAAAACTCTACACATCAAACCCCGGCTGTGAGGGCCCAGGGGGCCAGCCCGCGCCTACCTCAGCCCCCTGTTCCTGGAGAGGAAGGAGGCTCCACCTGCCAACGCCTCAGAGGAGGGACCACCTGCCATCAAGCCCCACCCTGGGGCCCTGGGGTCACTGCTCTGCCCGCCTGGCCCTCAGCCTTCTGTGACCAGTGTGCACCCAGGGGCGCACCTTCTCTCCCAAGCCAGGCCCTGCCCCGCCTCACCAGCCCCTCTGCACCCACCTTCCCACCCCTGGCTCCTCAGCCTCGCGCCCAGGGTGTGCCCCGAACCCCAGCGCAGGGGGGAGCCAGGCAGGGCGCACCGCAGGGCCTGTGCCCACTGTGGGGGCCGCAGCCGCACAGCTCACCCCCGGGCCTCTCCCCCACCCCCGACCCCCAGGCCTCCCTGGGAGGGGACTGTGTTCAGCAATAAAGGTTCTGTCCTGTGTCTGCCCGTTCTGGCTGCTGTCACAGCACCACTCGGCCTTGCCGCCCACCAGCTCGGATGGGCACGCGCTGCCCGCAGACCAGAGGTGCTCCCTGCGCGCAGATCTGGGGCTGGGGTTCTGAGGGACTGGCCGCAGACTCCTGGCGGCTACCGGGTGGTGGGCAGGAAGGCTGTCCCTCCTCCCTGCCTCCCTGAAATGGCTCAGAGGGTCGGGGACAGCCTCTCTCCTGCGGCCAAGCCAGTGTGATCTGTGGTGAGGAGAGGCCCGGGAGGGAGCCCTGGGGACGTACGTGTTGGATGCAACAGGCTGGGGCCGGAGTCCCCCAAACCCTTCCGGTGTCCTTCCGGCTCCTCCTGGGGGTCTCAGGGCAGCGGCAGAGCCAAGGCAGGGGCTGGAGGGCAGGCCTGGCTTGTCTACACCTCCCTCGCCGGAAGTGTCTGGGCTTCTGGGGGGACTCGGGGACGCCTGGCCGGGGCTTGTAGCCTCAGTTCAAGGACCTGGGATAGAGTCTGGTCTGACCAGCATCGAGGGCACAGAGCCGTTGGGGGTGTTTCCCTGGGCTCCTCCCCCGTCACCCCCGGCCTGGCCGCCTCGCTCGCCCCTCTGTCAGCCGCTGCCCCGGTGGCCTCCGCTCGTGCCTCGGCCTGGAGCTGGGTCTGCTGCACGAGGCTTGCTGCCCACCCCCCCTGGGTTGGGGGGTTGCAGGGGGAGCCGCACCGTCCAGCTCACGAGGGCCGCCAGCACTGGCACCGCTCAGGCTTCTGCCCACACCGCGTCCCCGGGGGGGCCCACTGGCCAAAGCAGTTCCCTTGGCCCAGCCAGGCCTGCACAGGCAGACGCTCCGCCCCAGCGAGGCCATGGTGAGGACCCGGGGTGGGGGGGCCTGCTCTCCGCTGGGCCCCGTCTGTGAGGGGTGGCATCTCCGTGCCGGCCCCAAAGGCGGTGAGGACCAGGGCTGGCTCTGGGCAGGGCGACTGGTTAGTCAGGTGGTATAAGAGTTTGACATCCCCAGGACCCCGTGCCGACGTCCCTGGGACCCCACGTGATGTCCCCGGGGCTCCTGGGCTCCGCAGCAGCCGATTTGGCAGGACGGTGGACTGCAGGGTTACAGCGGGCCAGAAGGAAAGGGACTCCCCACCAGCGAGCAGCAGAGTCCCCACTGGGGGCCGGCCCTCCGCCCCAGCCACACCCTTTGGGGTCCATCGTGTCAGCCTCGGGGCAGGCCCTCGCCAGGGCCCCTGGATGACACAGTGGGGCCCGCAGAGCCCGGGCTCCGCCCTGACGCTGGGGAGACCGCAGAACTGGGGGCCACGGCGGGGAGGCCGGCGCTAGTGAGGCACAGCCCGGCCGCCTCGGCCTCCTGCCCCTCCTCCCTCGGGCTCCCCCTCAGCACCCTCTGTGACCTCCCCACGAGGTTGAACTTTTGAGGAGGGGAGGGGCTTGGGGAGAAATTCCTCCTCTCCCAGACAGACGGACAGACACAGAGTTGTTGGTGCAGCCCCGATCTGAGCTGTGGCCACCTCAGACCCTCGCCTCCTCCCTGCCGCCCTGCACTTCCCTTCACAGGGCGACACAGGTCCCCCAGCTGCAGAGCGAGTAGCGGCGTGTGCTCCCCCCGCCCGCTGGGCAGCCCCACGTGGAGCCACAGCCCCAACACTGCCCGGTGGTAAAGCAAGTGTGGGCGTGGCTCCTACCCAGGCCCCACTGCCCCACTGTGCAGCCCACCACCCAGAAGCAGCTGGTCTGACAGCCAGGCACCAGTGCAGAAGGGCCGGGGACCCCAGGAAGCAGGGGATGGCTGGCCAGTGGCTGCCCTGTCCTGGGCCGGGCCCAGCCCCCCCCACACCCCCTGTCACCCACTTGGGGGCCTTGTAAGTTCAGGCTCTGCCTGGTCAGCACCCGTGCTCCTGTGCTGGCGAGGGGGCCGTTCCTCGGAGCTGCGTGCCCCCTGGTCACTCGGGACTACAGGCCAGCGAAGCCCTTTGGGGATGAAGATGCTGGTCACCTCCCACCACCGCCCACACCAAGCCAGACAAAGCAAGGTGCCAGCTGAGGGCACAGCACAGACTTCTGTACTCCTGGGAGGGGCTGCCCCCCCTCCTGGACCCCAACATCCCTGCCCCGGGGCCTCTCAGGGACTGCCCTGGTGCCCCAGGGCACGTGCCCTCGCGGATATTGGCCTCACGAGGGCAGCCTGCCCCCTGGCCCTGTGCCCCTCATGCTGGCTGCCCTGCTGCTTGCTGGCGTCTGGGGTAGGGATGACTCGGGGATCCCTGGGGTCCTGTGGCCAGCAGTAGCACGGGCTGGCGGGGGGCAGGGGGGAGACACTTCACTGACTCTCTGACCTGGAGGTGATGGGCTGGGCCCTGGAGAGGTGGGCTTTGGAAGAGACCTCAGAGCCATGGGCCACGTCTAAGCTCTAGGCTGGGGCAGGTCTCTGGGCATCTGTCTGGAGTCTTTAGTCTCGGTGCAGTGATGTACCTAAAGTGCGGGCAACGCAGAAGAGGCGTAGACTGGGGCAGGGTGGGCCTGGCCTCACCCGGGAACTGGGGGAGCTGACTGGGAGAGGGCCCCTGGTTGGGTGGGCGCCCCAGCCTGGAGCCCCTCCCCAGGGAGGCACCTGCCACAATGCTGAGTGTGCCCCCCGCCCCCGCAGTGGTGCCTGGCACACAGCAGGCTCCTCACTTTAAGTACAAATGAGTCCCCTAAGTGGGCAGGACACCGACCCTGCCATCACTGAGCCCTGGAAGAAAACGGGGTGGATGAGACCCTGTCCAGGGTTGAGCAGTGGGGGCGAGACAAAAATGACCCGCCTGGCTGGCACTTTGTGCAGGATCCAGAGCCCCGTGCGGCCCAGGAGGCATAAGACAGGCAAGGGTGGAAGGGCGGCTTCCTGCCGGCAGCTGAGGGGCACGAGGAGGGCCGCCAGGTGACCGCACCCCCACGGCTCTGCTCCGGCTCCCTGCTGACCTCACACCTGCTCCCGCCTGGCCGGGCCCGGCCCCTCCCCCTGGGGGACAGGACAGGGACATGCTTCTGCCCCCAGAACCCAGCTGACTTGCCCCCCACCCCCATGCTGTCTCCCAGGGCTCTGCAGGAACAGCTTTGGGGACAGGGGAGCCCAGGTTGTCCACCAGCCCCCGGGGCAGCGAGAAGCTGGGGCCTCGGCCCCTCAGGCTCCAGGGAATGGCCTTGCCGGCAACCGACCGAGCTGCACGGAAGGACCTGCCCGAGCCCCGCGGGACCCGGAGCACAGACACAGGAAACGTGGGCTAAGCGGCTAGACGGAGTGATCTGTTCCCGGCAGCAGGAGACGCTGGCACGCTGTGGTTCAGCACTAGGTGTTACCCCGTGGCTGATTTCCCGCCCTCCGCCCAGGAGGACCCCGGAACGACAGTGTTCTCTGCACAGCCTGTCAGACGGTCCTGTGTCTGCCCCTCCCCTCGGATGTGGGCAGGCCGCTGCCCCACCTCCACCAGCCGTGCAGTGTGGGGCTCGGCACCGCTGGCTCGCCCCACCCCCCGCTCTCTCGGACCCTTGGGGAACCAGCCTCCATGCTTTGAGGAAGCCCAGCCGGCCGAGGCCACCCTGTCCTGCCAGGCGTGAGCCCAGAGATGCTATTGATGGCTCTGGGCAGCAGCTGTCACCCCTGCTGTCCTGTGCTCCCAGCCACCAGCCTGCAGGGACCAGCCCTCTCACGCCTGGGACAAACCCGGGCAACGCAGGGCCCTTGAATGTGGTGAAAAGCTGCCTATGTCATCACCCTTCGGTGGGCTCATTTTCAACCAGAGATCTCTGGGCCACCTTCCCGATGGAAGATGCCCCCAGGGCAATACAGCCCGAACGCAGAGTTGCAGGGTAACGTTTATTTATTTAAAAAAAAATTTGTTTATGTTTTATTTATTTCTGAGAGAGAGAGAGAGAGACAGCGTGAGCAGGGGAGGGTCAGAGAGAGAGGGAGACACAGACTCTGAAACAGGCTCCATGCTGTGAGCTAGTTGTCAGCACAGAGCCCGATGTGGGGCTCGAACCCATGAACTGTGAGATCATGAACTGAGCCGAAGTCAGACACTTAACCGACTGAGCCACCCAGGCGCCCCATGGGTAACATTTATTTTAAGTTTATGTATTTCTTTTGCGAGAAAGAGAGAACATGGGAGGGGCAGAGAGAGAGAGACAGAACCCTAAGAGCCTGACACAGGGCTTGATCCCATAAACCAGGAGATCATGACCTGAGCTGAAATGAAGAGTCAGGCGCCCCTGGGGTGCTTTTAATGACGACCCACAGGGCTCCTGCGGGAGTGCATTGCCTCAAGCACTGATGGTTTGGTGGGTGTGAGGCCCCCGGAGGGCATGGAGGCTTCGCACGCGCAGGGGAAGAGCCTTTGCAGGAACCACACGGCGGTGGCGTCTCCTCTCCCGGCTACAGACAGGCAGCTCAAGTTGCCTGGAAGACGGCGCTGCGCTGGTGGGTCACCCACCGAGGCTGCGGGCGTGCAGCGCGCCCATCTGCTTTTTCTGTGACAGGTGGGAGGGTGGGCCTGGGTCCTCAGGGACTGGCTCCCAGCCCGGGCTGCGTTGCCTCCTGGTACTGAGGAGGGGGGAGGAGGGAGGAGCAAGCTTGGGAACTGCTACCTGAGCAGCAGAGGACAGCACCTTCCCTGGGCTGAGGAGCCCATCACACCCTTGGTGCACGCTCGGCACCTGCAGGCGTGAGCCCTTCCCAGCCTCTGTGCAAGTCCCCACCCGGCCCGACTGCCACTAACCAGCGGGCAGAGCGCTCTGCTGAGGCCGCACGGAGGTCAGGGGGCAGACAGCGAAGGCCTAAGAGCCTCAGGAGCAGGCAAGAGCGGGGGGCACAACTGTTCCCAAGGCCTTACAGAAAGCTAGTCTAAGCCCAAGGCCAAGTCCAAGGCTGGGGAGCTTGCCCGGTGCCCAAGCCAGTCAGGGACATAGGTGCCCTGCTTGGCCCCAGACGCCCCTCCCCCAGGGCGGTGAGTGAATGGCTGGGGGCAGGAATGACCGAGAGCCGCGCCTCGTGAAGGGGCCTGGTCTGTGCTCAAGGGCCCAGCATCGTTAAACATCATATTTAGGGGCTGGATGTGGGGAAAACTGTCCCCACTTAGCTTGACTTGGTGGCTGAGCGTGGGCCTCCTCTGAACACCGGGGGGGGGGCTTTAAAGGGAGCCCCAAACCCTGCAATGCATCTGGCAACCCATGTAGCCGGGAGCCCAAGCACCCAGCCACTGGCTGAGCCGGCCCTGCAGTGACGGAAGGCCCTCTCCCTCTGCCTGCCCCGCAGAGCCCCCCGCACCCTGCCTGCAGGACTGGGGGCAGGAGGAAGCGGTGAGCCGTTCCCTTCGGGCACAGTGGGGATCCGCCACCCCATGGCATCTTAGGAAGTGGGGTTCCACTCTCAACTGTATGAATTTTTGTTACTATAAAATAATACACATTTATGCCCGTTAACAACCTAAAAAGCAAGCTGCCCTGGTGACTTCCTGCCCAGGTCCTTCCCGAATTTTTCTACGCATAGATGGCTATATTTAAGATTGAATTTGTTAACTGTAAAAGCCCTATAACAGCAGTATAGCAGTTTGGGGGTGGAGGGGACGGACCGCGCTCGGTCACTCCGCAGCACAGTGCGTGTGCAAGCACCTCCCCCTGCTCTGGGGCGCGCAAGCCGCACAGCCTGGGGCAGCCAGACGCACCTGCGCTGCGGGCCGCGTCCCCGGGCGGCGCCCCGCCCCCGCCGCGCCCTCCCCACCTGCGCCCGGCGCCCTCGGAGCCGCGCGTCCCGCGGTGCAGCCGCTGGACATGCCAGCAACTTTGTTGACTAAATTCCTGAACCCGCCCGAACCGCGGGGCTAAAAATAGCCGGCACTCCCCTCGCCGCGCCCGGCCCGGCCGCGGAGTGGCACCGCTGTCGCAGGCCCGAAGGTCCAGGCGCCGCCACGCTATCGGGGCTTCGGGGTCCGGGCCCGCGGGGCGGCGGGGAGCCCGGGGCACCGAGGAGTCCCGTCTGCTCCCCGAGACGCTCCGGCCTCCCCGTCGCGGGCGCGAGGCCCTGGAGGCCGCAGCCCGGGTCCCGCGCCGCCCGCGCTCCGCGTTCTCCGCACCCCTCTGCCCCGCGGCCTCTGCGTGTGCAGTGTCCCCCGGCGGCCACCAGAGGGCCCTGCCCCCTCCTCTCGCCGGCGGCCCGTCAGCACCCCTTCCCACAGCTGTTCCCCGCAGGAGATTGACAGCTGGGCTCCGGGTTGCCATGGGGATAGGCAAATAAGGGCGGCGGGTCTGGGGCTCCGATTGGCCTGGGGGCTCACGCCCCTCCCAGGGAGGCGGGACCGGACGCCCTGCTCTATAAAGGGGAGCGCGCGGCGCGGCGCTCGGCCGTGGAGGCGGGGCCGGTCGTACGCGGGCGGATCGCGGGGAGCCGGAGCAGCGCGAGGCGGCGGCCGCACCGCCACCCGCCCGGCCACCCGCCCGGCCGCCGACGCGAGGACGGAGAGCGCGGCCGGCCTGCGCCACCCCGCCCCGGGGTGCGGCCGGGGCCGCCCGAGAGCCCTGACCCGCGGCGTCCCCAGCGGCCGCCCCTAACTTGGCCGCGCGAAACTTTTCCCCGCGCGCCTGGGCGCCGCCCCCGCCGAGACCCGCCGTCCGTGGGAGTGAAGGGGGGGGGAGAGGCCCGCGGCTCCCCCCCCACCCCCGGCCCCACGTCGGGGCGCGGCCGGGCGCGGCGACGGGGCCGGGGCGCCGGGCGATGGCCGCGGAGCTGGCGATGGGCGCCGAGCTGCCCAGCAGCCCCCTGGCCATCGAATACGTCAACGACTTCGACCTGATGAAGTTCGAGGTGAAGAAGGAGCCGCCCGAGGCCGAGCGCTTCTGCCACCGCCTGCCGCCCGGCTCGCTGTCCTCGACGCCGCTCAGCACGCCCTGCTCCTCCGTGCCCTCCTCGCCCAGCCTCTGCGCGCCCAGCCCGGGCACCGGCGGCGCGGGGGGCGGCGGCGCGGCGCAGGCCGGGGCCGCGGCGGGGCCGCCGAGCGGGGGCCCGGGCGCCGTCGGGGGCGCCTCGGGGAAGCCGGCGCTGGAGGATCTGTACTGGATGAGCGGCTACCAGCACCACCTCAACCCCGAGGCGCTCAACCTGACGCCCGAGGACGCGGTGGAGGCGCTCATCGGCAGCGGGCACCCCGCCGGGCACCACGGCGCGCACCACCCGGCGGCCGCCGCGGCCTACGAGGCTTTCCGCGGCCAGGGCTTCGCGGGCGGCGGCGGCGGCGCGGACGACACGGGCGCCGGCCAGCACCCCGCCGCGCACCCCCACCCCGCCGCGCACCCCCACCCCCACCACCACCACCACCACCACCACCACCACCACGCGGGCGCGGGCCTCCACCCCGGCGCGGGCCACCACGTGCGCCTGGAGGAGCGCTTCTCCGACGACCAGCTGGTGTCCATGTCGGTGCGCGAGCTGAACCGGCAGCTCCGCGGCTTCAGCAAGGAGGAGGTCATCCGGCTGAAGCAGAAGCGGCGCACTCTCAAAAACCGCGGCTACGCGCAGTCGTGCCGCTTCAAGCGGGTGCAGCAGCGGCACATTCTGGAGAGCGAGAAGCGCCAGCTCCAGAGCCAGGTGGCGCAGCTGAAGCTGGAGGCGGCGCGCCTGGCCGAGGAGCGGGACCTGTACCGGGAGAAATACGAGAAGCTGGCGGGGCGGGGCGGCCCCGGGGGCGCGGGCGGGGCCGGCTTCCCGCGGGAGTCCTCGCCGCCGCAGGCCGGGCCCGGCGCGGCCAAGGGCGCACCCGACTTCTTCCTGTGAGCGCCGGACCCGAGCCCGCGCCGCCGCCGCCGCCGGCCGGAGGCTCGGACCCCGCGCTCGGGCAGGCCCCGCGCGCCCCGCGGCCGCGCCCGCAGGCGCCGGACCGGAGGCCCCCGCCCCCCGCGGCCCCTGCCGCCGCGGCCCGCCGTCCGGACGCGGCCGCGGCCGCTCTGCGCTCGGAGCGCGCGGATTCCCGGCAGAGTTGAGCCAGACCGAACTTCCCTCCAGGCGTCCGCTTGTACAGAGGCCGAGCCGGCGCTGCCCTGGACGCCGCCCTGCGCGCGCTCCCTCCCGCCTTGTCCTTGCCCCTCACCTCCCTGGCCCTTTTTTACGACTCCTTTTTAAAGCGATCTTATTTTCGAAGTATCTCTATTTATTTTGCTCGGCGATTAGGAAAGAAAACCCCGGAGGAAGTCCCCTCGTTCCCGGCCGGGGTCCGCTGTCCCAGCATGTGTCGCTCGCTTGCTCGGAGGGGTCCGGTCCCTGCCTGCCCCCCTGCCCGCCTGCCCCCCGCCCTGCCCCCGGCACCCCCTAGAGATTGAAGCCAAGGAATATTGTCTCCGCCGCGTTCCGTCCTGCTGCCCTACAGTACTCACGGGGGGGGGGGGTCGCCGCGCTCTGCGGGTGGGGGCTGGCCCGGACCCCCGCTGCTATTTCTCTATGCACCAGATCGTATTTATGACTCCTGGGGAAATATATCTTATTTTAATCTTCAAGAGAAGTGAAAGAGAAGAAGAAAGTAATGCACAGTATTTCTAGCAAAAAAAAAAAATTTTTTTTTAAAGAGGAGGTTTCAGCCTGAACCTCCCCGCATGGGGTCGAGTGAAAAAGTGTTTTTATTTTAATTTAAATTGTGTTTCGTTTTGTTTGTGGAATCTTTTAACCCTCCCCCCCCCCCCAGTGGCTTTCTGGACTAGCCAGCAGAGAGGGGGGAGGGAGGCCACTGGCTCTCATCCCGCAGGAGCCCGGGCCCCTGGACTCCGGGGGTCCTGCGCTCCCCCGGGGGCCTGCTCCCCGCCAGCGCCCTGAACAGAGATGCCCTAAGTCGTTGAAAGTTTTCTTGTGTTGTTGGGTTTTGTTGGATCATTTTTTCATTTGCTACAAGCTGAGGAAAGGGAAAGAGAAAAAGAAAAATAAATCCGTTTAGATCCAAAAGTCACTGGAGCCTGGTTGGTTTTTTGTGGCTTTCATTTTTGCCATAGTTCTCCCTGAATGCTAAGAGAAGGCAGTCCCTGGGGAACAGGGCTCTGCCCCAGCTCTGGGCCACCCGCCTGGGCCGACCTGAGAAGCTGAGCGGAGCCGTGGACAAGGCTGCGGTGGGCCGGTGGGACCCGCAGGCAGCTGCCCCCTCGCCCTCTGGGGCCGCCCCGCGGGGAGGAAGACTCCCTCCCGGGCAGGATGGAGGGCGCGAGGCCCGAGGCCGGCCTTGCCGGTGACCCTGCCCATCCCGGCGGCAAGTACTTGTTTGTTCTCAGTCCTGAGCCCGCAGTCTCCCGCCTGAGGGGTGGCCTGGCCTCTGTCTTCTAAAGGAAGGACCGTGGGGGCGCCTGGGAATATCAGGGCCCCCGGAAACGTCACCCTAAAGGGTCCTGGGCAGTTGCAGGACCGAGTTGACTATTCCCGCCCTTTGCGGTGGGACTGAGGCCCGTGAAGGTCCGCAGTTTGCGTGTTCGGGACGCGCTGTCAGGCCGGCCAACCTCAGCAGGGGTTCCTGGGTGCAGCGTGCTTTTCTGTTTGGAGACAGCAAAGGCCCCTCCCGGGCTGGGGCGGCTGCAGCGCCGTGTGGGCGCGGGGTCCCGCTTCACCTTGGCTCCATCTGAGGGTGCTGTCGCCTCTGCTGCTGCCTTAGAATAAAACTTATAGCAGAAGGTTGGGTGTCCATGGGGCTTTGAGCGAAAGCCCCCACCCCGGGGCTGAGCTCTGGAGCCCTCAGGGGGGAGCGAGGTGCGGACCATCCAGCCGCGCGGAGCGCAGTGCAAATGTGGGGGCGCAGGAATGAACTCCAGGACCAGGTGGGGAGAGGCTGCGGCACAAAGGGCCACCAGCACCCCACGTCCGGCCAGCTTCCGGATGGGGCCGCAAGGACTCCAGAGGCTCGCCAGTGGCCAGGGTGTCCCTTCACGCACGGTGGGGGGGGGTGGCCGGTTCTCACCCAAGACACCTTAGTTTTCATTGTTGCTGCCAGAGGAGCCACGCGGGGGTCTCCCTCCCCGCAGAGGAAGCAAGACCAGGCGGCCCGGCTCAGACGCTGTCTTTTCAGGAGGTACTGACGGCTCAGCCCTCCGCTCTCCCCGCGGCAGCCGGGCCTCCGGAGCCCAGCGCCTGACAGCCCGGCCGGGGCTCGGGGCGAGTCCGGGGGCAGCTGCGTCCCGTCGGTTTCCCCACAGCACTGCAGCTGGAGACGCCCCTGGACGCGCTTCACTTCCTTGTATCTTCTCTCCCTCCCGGGCTCTCCGTTCTCTGTCATTCCTTCCTCCCAACTCACCCCTTCCTTCTTTCCAGTTTTCCCCCAGGATAAACTGCGGCTGGAGAACAGGGAGACCGCTGCGGGAGGGGCCCTTACCTTTGTGTTTAGAGACGGATCCTTTCCTGGGAAGAGAGCCTATTTGGGGAAAGCCCCTGTGGCCCCAGGGTGGCCGTGCAGGGGCAGCCGGGTGGCCGGTGCCGGGGCCCCGTCGGGCCAGGGCCTCTCGGGAGGGGCTGGGCTGCGAGCCTGGGGGCACTGGAAGGGGGTCTGGAACCGTGAGAATCGGAGGCCTCACAACTCTGCCCCTCCCCCGGGGGTCCAAGGTGTGACAGTGCATCTGAGGAGCCTGCAGGCGACAGGGGAGGGGGTCAGTGGTAGCTTAGAGCAGCTGCGCTGGCGGAAGGTGTGAGAGGAAGCAGGGCACCCCAGGGGCGTGGGCCAGGCGCAGGGGTGACAGCAGAGCCCAGGCTTCAGGACGAGCCTCCACGCAACACCCAGGCCCCGGCGCCCAGCGCCCCTGAGAAGGGTGAGCGACATCCTCTGCCTGGCTGTTGAAGGGGGGCCCTGGTGGCACCCCGGCCTCAGCCGCTCCGCTTACCCCATCCATCCCAGAAACCCTCTCTCTGGCGGAATCAGAACGTCTTGGCCTTGGGGCCTCCAGGCACCCTGCCCCCCTCCCCCCTCCCCATCCCTTCCCTGTCCCTCAGCGGACACTTTCGTTTACTCCTGTGTCACTTCATTCGGTCTGAGAGTCCCTTCTCCGGGCCCGGCAGGGACCACAGCAGGCACCCAGATGACAGCCCCAGCCTCAGGGAGACTCGCTCAGGACACGAGTGGGTCTGACTCTGCGCCTGCCGCAGGGAGGGGGTGGGGGTGGGCTTGCGGATCAAAGCCATGGGCTGGGTGGGCTGGGGCGTGTGGGCACATCCAGGCTGCTTGGAAGGTGACAGGAAGACTCTGCCCCCAGGGAGCCCTCAAGCCCGAGGGAGGCGCGACTGGGCTGGGGGCGCTGGGGGAGCCCAGGGCCTCACGCTCATGCCTGCCGTGCGCGCCCCCGTCCCGAACACGGACTCCGCGTGCACAGGCTCGGTGCCACGTGTGGTGACCACGTGTGGCCTGGACGTGCTCCCGCACGCTCGTCCCTGCACGGCTGCCTCTCTGCCACACCCTTACCCTTACCCGCCCGAACCCCCGGACGCCGGGCCCCAGACACCCCAGCCCTGAGCCAGGGGGCTGCCTGAGCTGGGACCCCCCACCCTCCTGGCTGTGCCTCTGCCCTGCGGCCTCTGGGGGCAGCGCAATTCCAGGCCCCCCCCAGAGGGGCCGGTGGGGCTTTATCCTCCGCACAGCTGCAGGGTCCTACACCCCAAATGCACACACATAACACAGTTGCCCCCCCACACACACACCGGTCCTGCTGCTGCTTAGGGAATCCGGGAAAAAGTCTGGATCCGAAGTGACTGAGCTCAGCCCCAGCCCCAGCTCCTGGCCGCTGGTCCCAGGGCCGCTCTGTATGGGGGGGGGGGGCACTTCCGTCCGCAGCCCACAGCCTCTCTCCATGGCCACACTAGCCCTGCCTGCTGCAGCCGGTGGCTGTCCGAGGGCCCCTGTCTGGGTTCCTATTTATAGCCGGCTCCGAGGGTAGCCTAGTGCAAGGCCAAGGTGTCCTCTTCCCCCCCCCCCCCCCCCCCCCCCCCTCACCCTTGAGGACGGGCACCCATGGGCAGGCGTGCAGGGATCTGGGCGACAGAAACAGACGCATGTGTGCATGTAGACGTGGCCACGTGTGCAGGCAAATGCACACCCCCAGACACCCCTCCCCTTGCCACACACACACACACACACGGCCAGGCATGCACAGGAATACACACATGCTCACACGTGACCTGCACACACGGGCCCCGTGGATTGTGTCCGTCCTGGCCCCTTCACCCCATATACTGGCCATGTGGCCTCGTGGGCTCTGACTTCAGCCACCCAGGGAGGAATCGCCCTCGGTCACCATGGACTTGGTCGGCCCCAGGAGCCCGCAGCCCACTCTCCCTGCCCTGGGCTCCACTGCCTCTGTCCCAGCCTGGCCCTCAGAGCCACCAGCGAGGACCCGGATGTCCTTCAGGACAGAGGCTCTGGTCTTGCCACCAGGCTTCCAGAACAGAGACCCTCCCTAGGCTCGCCCAGCCCCTGGGGACAGATGTGCCACAAAGCCACCTGCTGCCCTCACTGGGACCATCACCAATTGTGCTGAGCTAGAGGCTCCATGTCAGGGCTCAGTAGGTGCCAGGTGCAGGCCAGGGCCTTGAGCCTGAGGCTGCTGGCCCCTCCTGGGTCTCAAGAAGGGCAAACCACCCCTAGTGTGTGGCCATGCATGGGACCCTCTGGCCCAGGGTCTGGGGACTTGGGGCGCTGTGGGCATTAGAAGGAAACTAGCCTGTACTCAGAGCCCATGGGAGCCCAGGGCTCCTCCCCTCTGCCGGTTCTGAGAGGCTCTGAGCCAGCGGCCAGCGGGGTGGTCCCCAGCACTTGAGGGGCTGGT